CAGTGGAGTTGACCAGTAAGAAAAAAATAATTAATGTGAGTTGTGTATCAGACAATACTGCTCAACATCTCAATGTTTTGAGATGTCTCCTTTAGATTAAAAGCCCAACAGTTTAGCTATAGACCATGTCTCCTTCCAGCATATGCTTGCTCTAGACCCGATGAATTATGTACCCTCACAAATTACCAGTCTGGCCATCCGTCTGGAAACCAATTCATGTTTTAAGATACAGATGTTGGAGATGTTCTGCGAGCCTTAGTTGGCACTTCATGTGAATGGGCTTTTTGATATGTGTAAGTTTTAATTCTGAAAGTGAGGCATCCGTTATATTTATGAGACAAGAGCAGGAATTATTAATGTGGTACAGTATCTTAAAGAGTTCCTTTTTAAAGCCTGCAAATGTTCCTGTACATGAAGAAGTGTGTTAGCCTACTTAACGCCTCGATTTGACTGCACTTAGTGACAGATTGGTTTGGACACACATTCACTGTCAGTGAATCATGTGTTGTAGACCTCTAGTTAACTTTACATCCATGTTCTTCTGTTTCCTCTGTAGCATGTAGTGCTAACATGACATCAAATTCCACTTAGGTTGGGAATGAATCTACTGCATAGTGTTATTTGGGTCTGTGGGAGTCACATCTGTAAATATGTACAAAGCACGGTATGAAACCACAGTACTACAACTAAGCTGCAGTGTTATTAAAATGTAATTGTCAGCGCTGCACCTTGCAGGATGAGCTCAGCAAAAAAACAAAACAGTTGCAGCGTATAAGCCTTTCGCCTTTTACTAAAGACTTCCGTGGAGAGGAACACCTACGAGTTCAACCTATTTTTGATAGGCTTGGCCGTTTGGCTGAGCATTCTGAGTTTGTGAACGACAAGAAAAGAGCAGTCATTCGCACCTGGGCGATCCAAGTTACGCAGCGCCTCTGTTATGCCAGGTCAAAAGAGCCCCGCACCCAGACCGGTGGTAACTACGCAACGAGTCCGTCTCCTGCAGCAAACGGTTAAACACTCAGAAGACCATTTTTTATTCCCGTCGTAAGAGTCATCAGCTAAGTTGCATATCAAGACTCTATACTAACAACAATAGCAATTTGTTTATGATCAAAAAGAGGATATATTTATATTTCACAAAAAACATTATATAAAGTTCAAATCAGCATATTATCGTTATATTTGCGTCATGTCTCATTATTAGATGCATCTTAATGTATTTCTCCCTTCTCACTGTGTGTTACTGTTTACATTTTTACTGTATTTGAAAATGGGCACCAAATCATGACTTCAAATGGCAAATTTGGCAAGAACTGCTGAGTGAGATGATCAAAGAAGCACATTTAAAAGAGAGTTGCATTAAGATTAAAATATATCCTCCTTTATTGCGAAAATGAAATAGAAATGACAGTCTGACATCTTAAATGCTGGTTGAAGAGATGCATCAAAAACACTTTTATTTTGTTCCCATTGACAACTTGCCAAAAACATCACCCTAACTCAAGATTTTGTGTAGAGAAAGTATTCTCTTTCCACTGCAGTTAGCTGCTAGCTAAGCCGTCTCACATATTGAGATCCATGACTCTGACCAATATCATTTATTAGCCCTACTGTAAAAGTTTTGATGTGAATCGTTTGAATTCAGATTTAATTAATTTGTAATAGCTTTTTCAAATTGGTAATAAACACTAACCTTGTTGAGGTGTAGCTCACAGCTCTTGATCCCACCAGCTCGTTTTGTCTACATCCTCAAAATCTCCCTTGCAGTACTCTAATTAATAATCCACAGCCCATTGAACAGTGAGTTATTGCACAGTTGTTAACCAATGTGACAGAGGCTAAAATCTCTAGGCCTCACATAGTGAAAGCGGCAACACTGAAATCTTTACAAATGACAAAGCTTTGGGGAATACCTCTGATGACCCAGCGTTGTCCTTAAATGCATTGAAGTTGTTCCTTTACACTTTATTACCGCTAGCTGGATTATTGTTTTGTTTATAATGTCTCTTTGATTTTCTGTTACCCTTTTCCTGTGTTGTCTTCTAGGCTATCTAGTCTTTGTTCCGCTCATTTTAAAACTCAGTTGAAATCTAATAGAGATGGAAAAGGGCGGATTTATTCTTTCTGTTTCTTTGCTGCTGATTTTTAGCAGTGCCACGCTACACTATCACATGGTTTAACACCTGTTGGGCAAACACGCTTGACTCTGAGCTCTGTAGTTGAAGCAGAAAAATGGGGGCAAGACTTTTCTTGTCAGTCCGACCGCCTCGCTACATGTCATGATTTCCCCCCTAATATATTACAGGCTATCTGTTCTTTTTAAAACTCAGTTGAAATCTAATAGAGATGGAAAAGGGCGGTTTTATTCTGCTTCAGATATTTTCATTGAATTATTCGTGGGTTCCTCGACGAACATGATATGATTTGGCAATGTTATGAAATATATTACTCTTGTTAAAAAGAGATTTCCGGGGATCCTTGAATGAACATGGTTACATAATGGATCTGTTTCACTCTGAGACCATCTATGTATTTTCTTTTCAAATGTCTTGGTATTTTTCTCCATGACTTACAACCCTCAAAGACCTCATTGACTAATTATTGGCTTGATTTCTTTTGTTGGAAGTAGACAATCTGCACTTCCTTGTTCACAATCCCAGTGACATGTCTGACAGAGAGACAGGAAGTAACCACAAAAAGGAAAAGACAAAAGATTTTCTTTGTATTGCTTTTTGTTTTGGTCTTCTGACCTTTCTCAAGACAACAAATCAGATAGAACTTGTTGCGTTGAGAGAATTCAGTCGAACAAAATGTCTGCAAACAAAGAAGCTAAGGTGTGTATGGATTAAGTCTTTAAGGGCTTTGTTCTAATACCTCACATCAGAGAAAAAACACTGACTTCTAATTTTAACTACATTGATCTCTGATAAATCCTGTGCCACTGAAAAGTAGGATGTCAATCCCGGTTCCGGATTTATTCTTTCTGTTTCTTTGCTGCTGATTTAGCAGTGCCACGTTACACTATCACATGGTTTAACACCTGTTGGGCACTGAGGGCACTCTGCACTATCACATGGTTTAACACCTGTTGGGCACCGAGGGCACTCTGCACTATCACATGGTTTAACACCTGTTGGGCACTGAGGGCACTCTGCACTATCACATGGTTTAACACCTGTTGGGCACTGAGGGCAACTCACTTGACTCTGAGCTCTGTAGTTGAAGCAGAAAATGGGGCAAGACTTTTCTGTCAGTCTGACTGATTATCTGTCCGACCGCCTCGCTACATGTCATGATTTCCCCCCTGATATATTACATGCCAGCCTATTTATTCACTGAAGAGCAGCACGGCTGGGGAATAAATCCTGACCTGCATAAGCATTACGCTGAGACGGATGTCCGGTCAGAAGAAATCCATCTCATTCAAGAGCTTCACATGCAGCCAACTTTCTGGGGAAGGCAACAGCCATAAGACTTTTATATACAATATAGCACTTTTTGAGTACCATGTTCATACTATAGTCAAATAATTAATTGGTTTGATTAAACAAAATTAGCCATAGTTTTCTAAATAACACCAGCTGTAAAATGATCTAGACTTTCGTAAGCTCTGGAAGAAAATCTTTTTTTTTAAAGAAACGTTTTGATTGAATGTAAAATATTGATGCGATACCACTTGGGAAATGTTGAGTTGACACATGCATTAGACACCATTATTTTCCAGCATTAGTATATTAACATTCACCACTACATCCATTTCTTTCTCTCTGACACTTCTTGGCTTGATTTCAACCTCATCTTCCTATTTTCTCTCATTGATTGGAAAAGTGCCTCCCGTTTCTCTCCTTTGCTTGTGTGTTCACTGCTTTGTGTATTCCCACTTGCTGTCTCATTCCATCATAAATGCTTTTTAAACCACTTGACTGGAAAATTGACTTGGCATGTCAATTCGGCTGAACAGCCCCAGTCAGAGCTGTCGATGCTTTTATTGTTTGGTTCTGTTTCTTCTGTCACTTCTAAATGGTAAATTAACTGCATTTATATATAGCTCTTCTCCAGTCTTTGTGACCCCTCAAAGTGTTTTAAGTCACCATTCAAACCAATCATACAGAGGCCAGTGCTGTCAGGGAAACTAACATTCACACACACCTGCACACCATTGGCCATGCCATTGTTAGTGCAATTAATGGCTCACGAACCTTAAATGTTAACTCAGACAGAGATCAATAAAACACAAACACAGACATGGTTGAGATTCATTATTATTCAGTTGCGCAACAACAATAATAATCTTGGAGTACAACATCACCTGCCACAGCAGTCAATCGTGGAAATGCCCCCCAGACCAGAAAGATCTCATGTGCTTTATACATGTAAAACACACACGAACATACACTTGAAGCAGCATACTGTACGTGGCAGAGATTATACATATATATATATATATATATTATACAGTCATATATGTTGCATCCTCTGAGTTTTACATGATCCCAGATTTCATGGTACAACTGTTAAGACTAAATGTATATACATAGTTTTAACCTAAGCATCGGTCCCCTTTTTCCTGTGTGACCTTAATGAATAACGAAACATACGTTATATAAGGAATCTGCCATAACACCATCAGGAGCTATTTTGGGATAGGTAACTTGCCCAAGAACACATCGACATGTTGACTGCAGGGACTGGAGATCGAACCACCCATTTTTGGATTGGAAGACAAGCTTCTCCAGCCTCAGTCTTTGTAATCTATTGTTCTTAAACCAGAATTATTAGGAAGAAGGTCAATAAATGCTCTTAAAATGCCAGAAGAAGATCATCGATTGGATTCCAAAAAGCAAATTATGCAATACGTACAGTGAAAATGTCCAACTTCACCTGCATTGGTTTAGCTGTACACTGCCATCCTTATTAGTTAAACCTTTGATGAATTTGTTTATCTAAATGTAACATTTCATCCTAATTCATTCTTTCCTTTGTCTTTTATCTCCCTTCAGGTGCCTGAAACGTTCCTGGTTCGAGACTTTCAGAATCAGGAACGGTATCTTGGAGATCACCAACCAACAAACTCAGAAGAGGTCATCTGGACTGAACTTCAGCAGACCCTCTTCTCCACACTGATGAATGTTTGTCATCAACTTCTACTTGTGCACCATCACTTAGATCACTTAGATCGCTTATCAATTGGAAGTGTTAAGCTTTAGTCGTTGGAGTAATTGGACTGGCTTTTAACATTGGGATACAACATGGCTGCCGCAGCAACTTCGCACTGGGATAGTGACTGACCCAGCATCTGATCACAAGATTTATCAGAAATCGGGGCCTTATGTCTCAGATATTACTGAACTTGTCATTAGCATTGATTTGGTATATCTATATCTGATACGTAAGTGAACAAATTCCTAGATAATCTCACTCAGGGATTGATTCTGATTCAACATTCAGTGCGTGTGTCATGCAGGGGATCTGGGGACGTTCTAGAAACAAGCTGGCAACTCATTAACAACTTATTAATGTCCCCCATGACCCCTGCAGAAGTCAGATAACCGGGTATCACCTAACCACATGTCTTTATCAGAGATCTAATAGCAGCCACTGAGATGAGCTCATGTCTGTAGCCGCCCCGCGCCAGCGCTGTCGAGGCTGGCGGTCATCTTCCTCGGCCATGACCCGGCTGATGTTGGGCCGGACCCTGGAGCGCATCTGTAAAGGCGTCCTGCTGCTCTGCCTGCTTCACTTCCTCATCATGATGATACTCTACTTTGACGTCTACTCGCAGCGCTTCGACCTCTTCAGCCGCTTCAACAACGGCCGCAACGGATCCAGGAATAACGTCAGCGGGGCAGCAGGGAGCGGACACCATTATTACTATTACAACCTTTCCAGGCCTAATGCCACATTAGCCAGCTACCTGGCCCCAGGGGAGCAGCTGGTGCCCACTGTGCAGCCTGAGACCAATCAGACGCCTTTGCCCAAACCTCTGCCGCCCTGCCCCGAGATCCCCCCCGGCCTCGGTGAGTAATAATGTCAGATGATATACTTTCACAACCATTTCCATGTGCTATGATGGATCAGACACATTTATTTTGTGTTTGCAAGATTTGTTTAATGTCTAAATCTCAATCGTTTTATGAACAAAGAAATAGGGGTATTTTCACTCCCAGAGTATTACACATAATAGCTGGCTACATTAGCTGCAGTTATAGTGATGTGAGTATTTCCTCTATATGTGCACCTGTCACAGGTTACTGAACGGGGGTGGCTCCAGGTTTTTGCCACTGGCTTTTGGCCCTTTTGGGTTGTGTTAGTTAGGCCTTCTCTCTGGTTCTGAAAGGAATTGATGGAGCAGTGTGTCCATTTTAGAGTTTCCAGTCTATCCTTGTCATGTCATGACAGCAGTCTGCAGAAATCATGCCAGTGTCATGTAGAACCAAAATGTCAGGGGCAAATGTGAAGCTGTGTTGAAACTGATCATTAAAGCATGAAGCACTGACAGTCCACTGCTGTACGGGATAACATGATTTTTTTTATATTCCAGTGGCTTTCAATTGGTGCAGGGCTTTTTATCAATTTTGCTCAACAGTCTCATGAAGTCATAAAAAACATGTTTAAATTAATTTTTTTTAAAGCATTTTGCTAGAATGAAATGTGTTGTTCCAAGCTTGAAAAGACCAGCCCTTAGTGCACTGTAAAAATGTTTCTCATATACCTCATTCACACCAACGGTGTTTCAGGGCCGGTTCGGAGCTGGAGCTTGAAAAGCACCGGGTTTTCCTCTTCACACCGCAGCGGAGCAGCCTCTTAGCTCCGGAATCCGGTTCGTTTCAAGCACCAAAAAATGGTTGCCTCGCTTACGTCGAGGCGGGGGCAGAGACAGGATCAACTCCTGAACAACAACAAAAAGCCGGCGTTTTATCCAGTTTGTACACAACGATGGAGAAACTTAACAAGCAGCAGTGGTCCACTGAAGAGACCAGCTACCTACTGGGAATCTGGTCTTCTGAAGAGGTACAGAGGAAGCTGGAGCACAATCGGCCATTGTTGTAGTTGTCGGTGTCAGCTGTGAGGGGTTTCCGCGCGGTTTGGCTTTATGAAGCAGGCACGCAAACAGTTACGTCATGACGCAAACGATGACGCAATGACGCAGCACCAGTCGGACTCTGGGCAATGTGAAAAGAGCCGGAGCTAAACCGAAGAACCAGTTCTGAACCTGAAAAGCTCTAGCACGGAGCTTGAACCGGAGTTGCGTTGGTGTGAATGAGGTATAAGAAGGAAACAGAGAGGTTTGCCACTGCGTCACAAGCGTTGAGATGGCTTGTTTTATTTGTAAATTCATATTATATTTAATTTGTCAAGTGTCATTTTCTGATATGCAAGAATAAGCTTGAAATTTAGCTTTTCTAGTTTTTGAAGACCAATTTGTTTTTGTTTATCCATTCGGCTTGTTGTATTTGTTGTTACATTACATTACTTGTTAGACGTTTTTATCCAAAGCGACTTACATACTGAATACTGTGGGCAATCCCCACAGGAGCAATTTGGGGTGAAGTGTCTTGCCCAGGGACACAACGACATGCTGACTGCAGTGGGGTTTGAACCTGTGCTCCCCCTGATCCGAACACCAACGCACTAGTACACTGCGCCACGCGCCCCCCTGTTGTTGTTGCTTGTACATCGTATGTTCGATAACGGAGGATTTGCAGAGCATTGATTAGTGTAATAATGAATAGGGGAGACGAGACCTTGATCGTAGCTTGAATCTGGAGCTTACTTTTTTATTTCCAGTAAAGAAATGCATCTGCAGTCTAATTCCAATTAGCGAGAGAGCAAGTATAGTCGTAATTTTGTTTTTCCGGGTCAGCCCGCAACATAAAATGGATTTAATGTCAACGATTTACACTGTGGTATTTCAACCTTATAGACTCACAGCAGGGCTATTAGCAGAGATTCATGCAGGCACACACACAGCAGTACACACAACAGCACACACAGCAGCACACATCCAAACCAGAGCTATTAGGATATTTCTTTTGTGCTTTCTTAAATAACTCCTTTAAGTGGAAATAATGACCTTAATTAAGAACCTCAGAGCTGCAGCTGGTTGCAGGCATCTTGCGTTGAAACTGATTATATGTTCAGTGTTTTACAACGTGTAGGATTTTTTTAGTTGTGGAACTTAAAGTGAATTTATAGATACTCTTCCTTTCCTTAATCCTCTTTGTTCTGAATGAAATCCATATATCATCCCTATAATTGCACCACAGGTATACAGTGTGGACTGTTTTGTTATAGCTTGGTATGCATTGCCTTTATCAGTAAAACTACTTTGAATGAACTATTAAAGACACTTATAAATGTGACACACATAGGCTGGTTGTACATATCTATGGATTACAATGTTTAATATGAATGTCCACTGAACTCTGGTTTGCACACCTACGCACACACACCTCATTATCATCACTATCCATTCACCCAACAAAGCAGGGGTTGATTGAGTCACACTAAGGCTCGGGTTTACTAAATCTATAATGACATAGTGGACACACACACACACACATACAAACTGAAACACACACACTCACACACACTCTCCACAGCTCTCTGTCATGATTACAGATAATAGAGCTCCGTAAAGAGGAACTATCTCCCGCTGTTTTTATTTTTAAATTAGCCAAAGAGCCCTGACCCCATCCACTGAAACACCACTAAGGCGTTTAAAACTAACTAAATTAAAAACAACCTCCTTTATTATCGACATTAAAGTACTAGGTCTTTATCCACCTTTTTGCATGAGCATGGTATCAATCTTCTTTTCTAACACAATAACATTTTTCTGCAAATGTCAAACTAGCACTTTAATATTTGCTTTTAAGTCCAAGTTGACAAAGAACTTGTTAAGTTAACTTTTCAACTGACTTTTTAGACAGAACAGAAAATGATTGCATTGTATGCAATCATGCAGACATCATGACACAATTCCATCAGATTAATGATAAAAACCTAGAGGACATTATTCAACTTCTGAAATCCTCCTCTTGCTGCCTTGATATTATTCCAACAGGATTTTTCAAAGATGTTTTGCCTTGCATGGCCTCAGATCTACTTCATATAGTAAACACATCTCTTCACTCAGGTATTTTTCCACAGGCCCTGAAAACTGCAGTCATTAAACCGCTCTTAAAAAAGAATAATCTAGATGCTTCAGTAATTAACAATTACAGGCCCATATCAAACCTCCCATTTCTAGGTAAAATCATTGAAAAAGTTGTTTTTCAACAGTTGAGTAATTTCTTGCATTTAAATAACTGTTTTGATGTGTTCCAGTCAGGCTTTCGTCCAAACCACAGCACTGAGACTGCTCTTGTAAAGGTCTTTAATGACATCCACTTAAACACAGGCAGTGGCAGAACTTCAGTGTTAGTATTATTAGATCTCAGTGCTGCGTTTGACACTGTTGACCACAGCATATTACTAGACCGACTGGAGAACTGGGTGGGACTTTCGGAAACAGTTCTGAATTGGTTTGAATCCTACTTAAAGGACAGAAACAACTTTGTTTCTATAGGTAAATACACATCTGAGTTGACAAATATGAGGTGGGGTTCCTCAAGGCTCCATCTTGGGGCCTCTTCTCTTTAACATCTACATGCTACCACTGGCTCAGATAATGAAGAACAACAAAATAAGTTACCATAGCTATGCAGATGACACACACATTGACGTAACAATTTCACCAGGAGACTATGCTCCAATTCAAACACTGAGTAAGTGCATTGAACAAATCAATGACTGGATGTGTCAGAACTTTCTCCAATTAAACAAAGATAAAACTGAGGTAATGGTTTTCAGTCAGAACGTATAAAAGTTAGCGCTGAGCTTCAGTGTGCAATGTTCAAAACAACAGATAAAGCCAGAAATCTAGGTGTAGTCATGGACTCTGACCTGAGTTTCAACAGTCACATTAAAACAGTTACTAAATCAGCCTACTATCACCTAAAGAATATATCTAGGATTAAAAGACTAATGTCACAGCAGGATTTAGAAAAACTTGTCCATGCTTTTATCTTCAGTAGACTCGACTACTGCAATGGTGTCTTCACAGGTCTCACTAAAAAATCTATTAGAAAGCTGCAGCTAATTCAGAACGCTGCTGCTCGAGTCCTCACTAACACTAAGAAAGTGGATCACATCACTCCTGTTCTGAAGTCTTTACACTGGCTTCCTGTCTGTCAAAGAATAGATTTCAAAATACTGCTGCTGGTTTATAAAGCACTGAATGGTTTAGGCCCAAAATACATTTCTGACCTCCTGCTAAATTATGAACCATCCAGATCTCTCAGGTCTTCAGGGACTGGTCAGCTTTCTGTCCCCAGAGTCAGAACTAAACATGGTAAAGCAGTGTTCAGTTATTATGCCCCAAATATCTGGAACAAACTCCCAGAAACCTGCAGGTCCGCTACAACTCTGACTACTTTTAAATCCAGGCTGAAGACTTATCTTTTTGTCGCTGCTTTTAATTGAACTATTCATATCTTAGACTGCACTGTAACTTTTATCCATGTATTTTTTCTTTTAATGTTTATTTTATTAGCTTTTCTTTTTAATGACTGATTTTAAATGCCATTTTCTTAATCTCTTTCATTTTTTGTAAAGCACTTTGAATTGCCTTGTGTTGAAAAGTGCTATATAAATAAACTTGCCTTGCCTTGCCTTGCCTTGTATGCCAGATGACAGTGGAGAGATTAATAATTGAATTTAATAATTGCTTTTTGGCTCATATTGTATCCCAACCAGCTAGAAAATTCTCTATTCCCATTTTGTACTTAGGTGCTATGTTTAACGTGTGCTCTTATAGTCATGAGGCACTGCATTGACAAACTAAAAGCTAATTTAGACCTTGCAAATAACACTGATTTGATTTTGACACATATATTTAATAATGTATTGATTTATATTTACAGTATTAATACTTTCTTTCTTTCTTCCAATCATTAACTGATATTTATTTGTG